CCATTTCACTGGTGGTCCAGATGAAATACCAAAGGAGGAGTACTAGCCATGATTCAAAGACTGTTGCTTAATGTTTGCACCTCTCCCAGTTTGTGCAACAAGAAAAACATTCCACTTTGAGACCAAGCATTTGTGCTGTTTTCTACAATTTACAGGTCTGCCTCCATCTAATGGAGCAGTTCAAGCTCATCCAGTTGATTTTGCACTAAATATGTTGCGCTGTCCTCAAGCTGTGAGAATGCAGTTGCTGCTGGTCACATTTTAAGATGTGACCTTGAAGTATGTTTTATACAGACAGACGTTCAGTCTCTACCTTCCAAGCTGAAGAGATTCAGGACCATCTCAGTACAAAAGCACTTGGAGACACTTTAATTATTATTATTAATTAACATACCATTAAAGACACTTTAATACATACCAAACTCAAGCTACTGTAGTCTGCCACACAGTCAGGAAGATACGGACAGACAATGAGGCAGGGAGTGTAATTGATCACTGCAGCTCAGCAAGTATCAATAGAGGCAGACTTAGATTAGGTATCAGGAAGAAATTCTTCACTATGAGGGTGGCGAGACACTGGCACAGGTTGCCCAGAGAAGCTGTGGCTGCCCCATCCCTGGAAGCATTCAAGGCCAAGCTAGATGGGGCTTTGAGCAACCTACTCTGGTGGGAAGTGTCCCTGCCCAGGGCAGGGGGCTTGGAATGCAATGATCTCTAAGGTTCCCTCCAACTCAAACCATTCTATGATTTCCACTGGGGATCCAGAAGGACAGGAAGCACAGACAGCCCCTAATGCCCACCACAAAGCAGGAGGACAGGCAAGCCCACATGCACTCTGCTGGCACTGACAGATAAATCACAGCTGATTTTGAGTACCTGTAGCACCATCTCCATGGTGCAGTCTGCATAGAGACTGACAAATCCAAGCCTGAGAACCTCTCTGCCCTGAGACTACTAGCTTAAAACCTCCTTCATCTTACCCTGCCTACATCTCAGATATACCTTTTTGCTCAAGGGGAGGGCTGGAACTCAAGGAAAACCAGTCTGTTGACCTCCCGCGGGTCATTTTGGGATAGAGAGGGGAGAGGATCCAGGTATGAGGAAGATGGATGCATTTGGACCTGGTGAGACCTGTGACTGTTTCAAGGCCATAGCTCTGTGTCAAGGAGAATTAGCACAAATTTGGAGAAACCTAAGAATGCCTGTATGCATAGCCGGAGTTAAACAGAGAGCTAGCTCTGCCCAAGACATTTGGAAATAAATTAATCACAGCTAATTGACTATTCAAATCTATTCTTAGTTTGTGTGATAGATATTAATGGTGCACTGAAGGAAGACATTACAGAATTTAGTCAGTTGGTGCATGATGTCTTGATAGCTATCCTGCACACTGAACATGTAACAATTCTAACATGATTAAATATTAGTACTGGAAAAGTGGTCGACAAAACATGAAACAGTTTTCGACATCTTTAATGCCAATGTCCTAATAAAAAAGCAAGCCAAATATCAGAGGAATTGCTCAAAAGAGAGACCATTAAGGTGAGTTTAATTCTGGAAACTGGATTACAGCACAACCACACTGCAGAGAGAAGGAAGAACCCTGAAAAGCCTTTTGTTGCATGTCCTAGACAAGTACAAATAAACTATTTTAAAGAATAATCTGGTGAACGTTTCCCAGTTCTCATTAGTAACAGAGTTCTCAAAATCCCAAGTTCTTGGGCCACTAAGATGTTACATTACAGTGAGTGGGAGAAATCCATTTCTACGAGAATATTTGAGAATCTTTTTCCTAAAGCACCATCGGGGATATCAATTTTCAAAGCCTAAAGCAATTTCTTGCCCCGCAGCTATTTAGTGGGAGCACATGAAAATGCAAAGGGATCTCAACAATGTCAGTCTAAGCGAGTTAAGTGTAAACCAACTCTCTACAGAATTGTGAAACCTGCAGAAGAAATTATCTCTGATACCACTGGCCTCTTCTCATCCTCCCCACCCCCAAGTTATTTCTGCAGGCAAAAGCAAGACAACGAGCTAAAAACCACAGCAGCCTAAAATTACCCAAGCTACATGTAAAACATGATTTTTAATTTTTAAGTATAAAAAGCTTTTTAATGATCACATCAAACATGTACAACTCCTCCACTTTTAAATTAAAAATTTACCAATTTCTCCTCTTGAAGACAACAACTGCTGTCTTCTCAAACTATTTAAAACCCTGAACAGATGTAGAGCTTGCATCATTGCAACCACACACAGAAATACTTCCACAGTGTAAGAAGAAAAATATAGACTTTGTTGCTTAATTCTAAGAAAAAAAATATTAAAATCTACTGGTGTCATGCCAATTCATGGTCTGTGGTGCTGGATTTTTTCTAAAACAGAGCCATCGGAAGCACCCAGCTCAATAGAATGAGACACAAACTTTTCACTATTTAATTGATACCGTGTTAAGTGCAAAATTCAGTTGGATGCAGTTAAGTGTGGTAGCAGAGCATAATAGATGGTGGCTCCATCTATTTTAAGACCCAGGATGCTTCCTGTCTCAGAGGTCTGGAGATATATGATGGGTAAAACCCAAATCCATTCTGGGCAGAGACACCAGTCTGCTTTTTCCTTCTCCAAAACCCTGGTTTCCAAGCAAAGGAAACTTTCCATGCAGACCCAGAGTGACAGGGATCTTCAGAGAATCCCTTGGATGGCTGGGCGTACTGCAAAGCACGTTTCCCCTCAGTACTCCATGGGTACCGAGTACCCAATGTCAGTGAGTGTCAGCTCTTACCATGTGGGATGTGTTGACACCAGATTTTGAAAAAATGTTTCTCAGAAGGGCAGACTTAGGGTTCAGATTGGAGTTTGTTATCGAGTGCTTAATTTCTTCATTTAAAAAATTAACTTATGAAAGACACACATTCAACAATAATGCAAAACAACTGCAAATTAGACTGTGCAAAGTCCACCTAAAATAGGTCACAACTTAATGAGAAAAATATTTCTAAATCTTTTAACTTGGAAGACCTGCTGCCCAAACTATCCTTTGCCCAGTTGTTAGCAGACGATGCACATATGTCCTGGTCAGTTTTTCATTGCTCTAAATGATGGACTTCTGTAAAATTAAATGGATGCTCTCTCTTTCTGGCTATAATTTCAGAAGACAGGAGAGTATCTAATGGTAGGAAGTATTACTGGGAAGTTATTGTTGTAATTGGCTGTCTACATCAGTTCTACTTTCCCTTCCTTAAGGGAATGTTTGCTAGACTAAATAAAATTTCAGATATCTCTATTGTTTGGGCTATGAAATGGATACTGTCAGCTAATATAGGGGAATGGAATATAAGATATTAAAGTGCTTTCTGGCATCTTCCAGGATAAGCATTTTGGGTCAGTTTGAAAAAAAAAATAAAGGTGGATGAGAATTTTGATAAGATATAAAAGTTATGAAAATGGTTTCTTGGTATTTGTTATGAGTAAGGGGAAGTGGAGAATGGAGAAAACAGATGCAATATTTCTTTGCATATTGCAAAGGTAAAGAAGGAATATGCCCAGATAAAAATCAACCTTAAGTGTGACCTCTTCTTTGTAGCAGTTTAATAACCAATGGAATTTTTTTCCCTTCCCACTGCTTTTCACTTCTTTCTAGTTTTCTATATTTGCATTTTATTCAGTTTGGGCAACAAATTAGATTGGTCAATGTCCCTTTATGTTCACAGACATCTGGAAATGTCTGCAATTGTTAAAGATATAACTACCGCTACCAAAATTGCACTGGGACATGTCATATTAATTTACATTTTCATCTCAGGTAATATCTCATTCCTTTCTCTGAGAAATCTTTCCTACAATGCTGCACTAGCGTGGCTTTATGTCTCTTTCTCCAAAATTCTGCAATAGTTTAACATTAAAGGTTACAGTAAATTACCTGCAGTTTCCTTCTCCCACTATCTCTTTGCTAAATTGCACCCACATATGGCCAGCTGGCTCCTTCCACTACAGCAGGGCAGGCCACCAGGAGGATAATTCATCTTTTCTACTTTCCCCATGCAGAATCCCTCACTGCAACGTCACTTCCCAGCACGAAACTGGTAGCTAGAGACAGACGGTCAAATGTTATCACCTGTCAATAGCAAGTGAATGAGCTCCAACGTGCACAGAGCTGTTGTGATATCTCAGCCCTGGATGGTTCATCTGTGGATATGATGCTACTCGATTAAGGGATACAGCTGCACCCTGTATTCCTGCTTTCACAGTCTCTGTACAATACTGCCCCGCACACTCTTGCTTTGCATTAGCACAACACGACAACATATTTTAAAATGAGTATTTCTTTAACAAAGAAACAGACATCTCATACCTGTCAATACCTTAACTACAAAAAAGCACATGAAGGAAAGATTAAGATCACATCAAATGAGCCCTATGGAGAAGACTTCTGCTAAAATCCAATTAATCTGCACACAAAGGAACACATTAACAACTTTGACAACGTCCAAAAATAAACTAAACATTTCAGGAACTTTCTAGACCCTTTTTGTCACACACTGCAGCGAGCCAAGTAAGATTGCCCATGTCAACATGAATCATGGTGACGGGCAGGGAACAGGCAGCAGAAACCGCTTGGTGTGACCACAGAAAACAGGTTGTAGGTACTTGGGACAAGACCACAGCTCTGCGTGGTCAGCAGGATGCCAGACCCTGCTCCAGGGGTTTGCAGAGCCAGCAGTGCTGGTACAGCCCTGGGTGACCAACCGTCCAGAACGAACAGAGCCCAGAGAGACACAAAACTATGGAAAAAGAAAGATATTAGAAGAGTCTCCGAGTTAAGTAGCGGGTTTGTGTTAAACTGTCTGCTCATGTAATTGTATGAATAATTTCTTTTCAAACCACAGCATTAGCATTTTCCCCTTGCGTTCCTGCCACAGTTCCCACAGTATTATTCCACGTCACAAACAAGCATTCGATTCAAGTATGTACCCGAGCAAAAAAATTGCAAACCATCTCACCTATGACAGATACGCATCCCAGCGGAGCGACAAGGGCAATGGGGGCAAATCCGTAGGCTGTGAAATTGCCCACCTCTCCAAGCCCCAGGAGGGTAATCCCGCACCACCACAGCTTGCTTGTGTAGTAGGGCTTCGGCTCTGTTTGGCAAGCCAGTCGGAGATGAGAGCATTTCTAGAAAATTAATTATTAGGAACAGGCATGAAAAGAAAGACTTCCATTGTGTTCTAATGTCTGACAAAAGTGGAATAATTAAGGGGGCTGTCAACTTCAAACTCCAGGTGCTTCAAGATTTTCTTTTTAAACACGACTTTCAGCTTGCTGTTGCAGACACACTGCTTTGTGTTAACTCAGTGCTGCTTCAGACGTGTGCTTTCTTAGCCGTGGTGGAAACGACTGGAAAATTAGACCTCTGAATAATCCTGAAAAATATTAAGTGAATACTAGCAAATGCTTCCTAGTTACCACTGCACGCCCCTGTTCTTCTCCAAAGTAAAGCTTGTCAGTTGTGCTGTGAATCTGGAAACACTCAAAGGCAGGCGATGGGGCAAAATCAGAACAGTGGCAACAAACTGGAGAAGGCAACCAGATGCCATGGTGTTCCTGCTCCCTGATACATATCCTAGCCAGAAATGCAATTTAAAAAAGGAAAAGACAGCACTTAACCAAGTCTGTTGTGGGGAGGACTCTAAATTAATTAGGCAGAATTTAGGATTTGGTTACAATCTCCTGTTTGACCTTAGAAGAAGATCTCGGGTAAAGCATTGTTTTCAGAAGGAAAACCAGCTATACCTGTGTCAACAGGCATAATATATAGTCAAGTAATACTTCATCAACACTTCTTGTTATATGGCAAAGGTATCATTGACATGTTGTAAATGTTTTCTCTCTGGCTATACAGCAACAACCTGTATATAACAAGATAATTTGACTTTGATCATACCAGTCTTCTGAAACAGAGTCCAGGCACTCTCCATCAGGAAGGTGCCATGACTGGGAAGGATGTGATGTTTACCACATTCCCTCTGCAGAATATTGTTTTATTTCTCAGATTCCTCACTGGCCTCTCTGCACAGGGAGGAAAACGGGTCAAAAAAGTAGGAAATCAAGTGATGCAACTATTGTAGTATACATGGTGGTAAAATATTTTTTTTTTCCCCATCACTTGATGTTTGATTTTGGAAGAGTCCTTGCAGAGCTGCAGGGACATTGCAAGCAATTTTCCTCATCCTCCCATTCTACTCTGTAAGATACGCTACAGAGTATGGACCAAACAGTAACGTCTGTGATACACCAGGGACTCGGTTGTTCCTCTTGTTGAGAGGATGCAGCCCATTATTGCAGCTTCATGATGAGGAACATGTTCAGGGGATGAAATCCTAGGAGGAAGTTTAGTCCTCCAAGGAGAAAGGGAGCATAAGGAAATCATACTTCCCTGAGCCACAGACCAGCAATTCACAGTAACATACAGGATTTTGCATGTTCCATTTTTATAAACAAACAAACGCCCAATAAAGATCCAACTGAAATGAATATTAAATAATATTCAAATCAAGAATCCAAGTTTCTGCTAAAAACTAAATAGGATAAGTTCTTAAGTGACTCCTGAGCTCTGGTTTCTCCCCACATTCTCATAGGAATAACCCTTGAGGGCACAGTGTGATTGAAAAGATGTGCAACGAATACAGAAGAGTGAATTTATCGGTTCCCCTACAGCCTTCCTTCTCCAGATGTCTGCCGCCTTTGCATCGTACTGTGCGTGGATGGTATTTAGGTGGAGGCTGTTTACAATCCAGCTGAAATACATAGCAAATGGTGGGCTGTTCTTTAGCTGACAACAAGCTAGAGGGAAGAGAGGGAGAATAACTGAACTCACGGTGGAAAAGGGAGACTGAACAATAAAATTTGGCCTGTCCATTGAAAGAGAGTGTGAAAATAAATGTTGACATTTAGGGAAAGTCATTATTCATATTTATAAGATGTTGTTACTAAATGGAGAAAGACCAATTTAAAAAATAAATACAAATTTTGATTGAAACCGTCTGTCAAATGGCAGTGCAGAGCTATTGGATTTTCCTAAACAGCATTTAAAATGCTGTAAGACAGTTCAAAATAAGTAAATGCTGTTAATGATTACAAGGTAGTAGAAGTCTGCATGCCTCAGTACATCCCCTCGCAAAGCAGCCGCTCTGGCACTCAGTGCCCTCAGCAGACAAAAGATATGAAGTCTGAACAACCTCATTATTATGGGCAAGTCTGAATTTCTACTTCGCCAACAAGATTTTTTCCATTGAAACAGAGCCTGTCCTAGTACTGTCACTGTCAGCAGGCTGGAACTCATATTGGAGAGGCAGCAGTCATCTCAACCTGCCTGCCATCTCTGGCTGAACAGATTTCTTTCTATGGGATTCTCCAACTGGAGATACTTAAAAGGGAATCAGTGAAGAACCTTCTAAAATTAATAAAATGGGTTATTATGAATAGGCAGCTTCATATTCCACAGCTTTCTGTTTCATCCTTTACTGAAAAAGCAAGAAATAGCTTTATATGAGGCATACAACTCATAAAATACAAGTAAGCAAAACCACTTTATTCTGGACAACTTATACAGCAACATCATCTGCACTTTAAAAACTTTTGTTAGAAGACCTAAAAATATCATGAAGTCTGCAAGATACAGATTGTAATTAATTATTTGACTTTCTACTTAGTATGTATTCTAATTATTAATACAGAAAGGATTTTATAAAACTCATCCTACAACTCTTTGCCATAGTTGTAAGGTCAGCATCTCCCTTTGCTTTTATGACTTAAAGTAATATTTACTCTGATTATTCTATCCTAATTACAGAAAGAAAACTAAATTAGTCAAAGTCATTTTGGGGCCCAATATTGCAAAAAATCATATGCCTCTATGCATTTAATTACATTAATCACTTCATTAAGCAGCACTTAAGACCTTGTGGTCAATTTCACTTTAGATTTAGACACTGAGACAGGTTCATGTGATGTCCAGCAGAACCACACTGGGTCACAGCTGGTAGTTCCTTATGGCACATAACAAGGAGGAGGAGGAGTTTTTACTCTATTCCCATATGAAAATCACAGCACAGAACAAGTTGAGAGCTAGTGTAGTGCAAACAACTACAGCAGGGCACTGTTAAACTCCAGTTAAAGACAGGGAATGTTTATTAATTGCAACAAAATTTGTATTTTGAACTTCACCATAAAAACAAATTGTAACACAAGTTACTCGCTAAATATAAAAAACTCTGAATAAAGAGAAATAATTCATACCTGTATATTCAGAGAGACACTAATCAGAAAATTTGAAGCAGCAGCAAGTAAAACTCCCAAGAGCTGAGTCTGCAAGATCACAAAACAAAGAAGTACAAGAATATTCATTAGTATAAGAAGAACAATATAATGGTGATTTTCTGACAGCACACTGCAACCCAATCAAAAACAAATTATTGCATTTTTCAATCACTGAGTTTATGCTACACTGAGTAAAATGATAAAAAAAGTATCTCTGCACAGTTGACCAGGACTTAAGTAGTAAATGACTGGGAATGGAAAGGACATCCCAGTGCAGGAGTTTGTTTTGCCATCCTTCAGTAGAACACCTTCTTAAATTTAAGTCATGAAAAAAAAAAACTAGACAGGTCTCAGCTGAACACTACACACAGGTATTCTTCTTTCCCAAAAGAAGAACCTGTTTTGTTACATAATCCAGAAGGAAAATCAACAGCAATTGAACCGTTCATATTGGAACACAATTATCTTATGTGTTAACATATCCACCGTTTGACAGGGCAGCCAGGAACATAGGTCTCCTGACAGTTTCTTTAAGGTATTGTGTTATTTCATCAAATTCTTTTCTAATCAGCCTGTCTAATTTTCAGAAAGATTTGCAAACTTTCTATGAAGCTGAGAAATTAAAAACATTCAGGCAGGATTCATTATTTTGGAAAGCAGCCATTAAAAAAATGCCATTTCAGCAAGCTCAAATAACAGGTACATGGTAGATCTCCCTGTCTACTTTCAAAATGTTGTAACACTTTGTGCATTGTCATAAGCGTATTCAAGACCCATTCAAGGTCACTGGGGTAAGCTCTATGAGGAGCCCCATTAGCTTGTAGAGAAGACAAACATACTATCAGTGAATTTTTATAAAACATGACAAGGTCATGGTAACATAACCCAGCATAAGTATTGCTTGCAAGCTGTAAAGTAGCATCCAACACAGTGCTCCCCGCCTCAGCTTTCGTGACTCTTCTCCAAGAAGGTCCCTGGGCACCTACGAACAGGCAGTGCCTACCAGCCACAAAGGCTGTTGTCCCTCAACATTTATAAAGAGCAGTATGTGGTCCAAACTCTTGGAGATTACAATAGGAGATTGTTGTTTTGGCTAGATAATTCCCAGACTGGGAAAGAGCATCCCCCAAAATGTGAAGAAAAAACAACCTTATTACAAATGGATGATAACATTCTTAGTCAAGAGACACAGCTGAATCCACGTCTCCAAGCCCATACATTTCTGTACTGGTCTAGACTCAGAAGGAGAAGCAGAACAGAGTCACTCTGTGCGAAATGCCTGGCCAACTGCCAGGTGTCACCAAGACATGACCAACGGGTACAAGGGGATGTAGAGAGGGGAATGCAGGAGGTGAGGGCTCCCTTTGCTCACACAGCTTCTGTGCCAAGTAATAGAGCACCAGTGCCACAGCCTGCATGCATGAAGCATTCAATGAGAAGCATTACTCAAGAGTTTTGCTCATTCCTTCTGGTGCCTGGCTACTGGAGGTCCTTCCCATCTTGCACCCTCTGCCCCCCACACCAGTTTCCCCAGTGGATGTTCCAGCAGCACATCCTGGGCTCTCACACATGGTGTATTTTCCACGCTCCGGGTACACCCCTCACTGGAGCAGAGGGGAGTGTGTGACAAGACATCTCAGCCCACATTGGCACAGATGTCCTTACTGAGATTAGGCACTATTATTGGGACACGAGCAGCCAAGCAACCTCCTTACACCCTGGGGAAATGCTGTCAAACGCTTCCCACCCAGGGCCCCGCAGGAGCAGAGGGGATGGGTTTTCCTTCCTGAGGCTTTGATGCTGGTGGTACTACATCTTGCGCAAAGTTTGGCCACTTCACAGGTGGATTATTGCATCATCCTGCACACACAGCAGCTTCAATAAAACAGCAGTTAAATCAAAATTGTTTTCTTGCTCCCAAAGACTTGTTCTTTTTAAATGACAACATGCTCCCTTGTGAGGGGGTGGAGAAGTGGCCTTGTCAGCCTCGTCATGAAGGGTTTAAGAAAAAGGAGACACCAGGGAATAGAAAACAGAAACTACCACCTCATTTACCCCATTTTATTGCTTTCACATCAGTAACTGTGACACATCTACACTATTTCCCAGCAGAGAATCCAGTCTCTCTGCGGCTCTTTCCATTTCGGTGGCCAATCCTGCCCTTACGGCTGCATCTCTGGATAAACCCTTGCAGCTCCTTACTCCCAGCTTCCATCTGGGAGTCACAGACACTGCGCAGGACTCAGGAGGCAACCAGCACCCCAGGTAGGGCGTGTGGTTGGTCTCAAGCAAACCCAAAGGAGGGTCTCCATCCAGCTCTTGAGTAAAACTTGCATGCAGCTGGTAGGCAGAGGATGACATTTCACCTGTCATCCAAGTAAATATGCAATATCCATGTGTGAGTACTAATAACGACCTGAGTATCTGACTCCAGAGACTGAATCAAATGCCCTTTTCACGGCTTTACCATGCTGCATGGATAGGGACTCCAGCAAGAAGCCTTCCAGTGCATTACTGGTATCCTCTCCAGAGCTGACTGCTTTGTTACCATGATGGTTGCTTCCTCAGGTACACATGAGCTTAGCTCAGATATCATTCAGGGACATGTGAAATTTCTAACATGATGGCCACCCTATGTCTGAGCAGAAGTCATCTCACAAAAGTCAATCCTCTTCTCACAGGTTCCAGAAGTTGCCAGGAACAGAAAACAGGTCAAAAACGGGGGTCTTCTCAGTCTTCTCCTCTTTTTCTGGGAAATACTGAGACATATGTGACCATTGTCTTAATAATTCCCTGTGAAATACCAAGATCAGAATCCCCGTCTGTTGAGGGTGGGCTGGGACATGGGTCTGTGGGTGGGCCTGGCTCAGCAGGACCCATGACCGGGCAGGGCAGGGAGATGGAGACTGGCCCTGCTGTGGCATGGCTGGAGCAGAGGCCCCAGGGATCTGACATGGGGTTCTGGGCAGGGTGGGAGAGCCCTGAGGACGGGCAGGGACAGGCAGGGCTGTGGGTGGCCTCAGGGCCCTGACAAACATGTGTGAAGGCATTGGGGTGACATTCCCTTGTGCTTAACTTAGGCAACCTCCCGCGTCTGCACATCAGGAAAACCAGTGCGTGTATGATCAAGTCAAAGCCGTAGTGGCAGTCTGGGCTCAACGACCTCATTGCTCAGGTCATTTTTTCATAATGGCCACATGTTTCACCTGAGCGTTGCTGTTGGCATATATACTGCACTGCCTGCTCCAGGCTGACATGTGCTAATGAGCTCTGTTTAGTATGGTGATAGCACCGTATTTCCAAACCCAGGGCTGGACAGACCCTGAAGATTAAAAGCAGAGTACAGTGCCCTAAGGAGTTCAAATATCACATGGATCCTTTCAGGGAGATGAGATGAAAGTACAGTAACGCCATGCAGCTATAGCATGGCAAACCTGTCTCGTACAGGTTCATACTCAGACATGCCAATATAAAAGAAAACAACAGGGAAGAAAAATGCACTAAAGAGAAAAATTAGATCGCAAATTTCACAAACCAGAGTGCATCTTAAATCAGCAGGTAATTTCTAATGCACAAGAGCCATCACATACAGCAGCACTCAAAACAGGAGAGAGAAAAAAAATCGGGTGCTACCTCAGGCTAGTAGAACCATGCATGATTGAAAGATGACCCTCAACAGAAGATAGGTCACCCTATCAAATCAAAATGGTTGCCGTATTACCTTGAAGGCCACCACAACCCTTTTGTTCCCACGTAAAAGGCCTCACTATTTGTGCTGTGTCTGCCATTCGACATCCTTTAGAGGCTAGAGGACTGGTGGAACAGCCAGCTTTATAAGTAATAAACACGATATTCTCTGAACACAGAATTTCCAGTTGGGATATCCAGTTGTGATATCATCTGCAGCACTGCACAGCTTCCCACACATAAGTCTTGAGACAAACCTCCATGAGGGAATTCAGTTGCAGACACAACTTCAGAGCCATGGTGCTACTTCAGTCAACTAAGGACTTCTACAAGAAAAATCCTTAAATATTCAAAACTGTTGGCGTAAAATGCAAATCCCTTCATCACCAAAACATCTGTCTGAACGTACAGGCCATTTTGTTGGACCCCACATTTCAAACTGTTGACGCATTCTTCCAGTGCTTCCAAATGCTTGTCACAGAAACATCCTGCCCTTAAGTTTTCCAGAAAGTATAAAAACACCACAGAAATTTGATTTCCTTCACCTCAATACGGTTTGGAACAAGCCATGAAAGTCACTTGCTGGCTTTGAGGCCCTTTCTAGACAGTCCCCAAGCACACAGACCACGGACTGAAGCTAGGGACCTGCCGACATTTTCCTCGGTGGCAGAGCCAGCTTGAGGAATGCCTCCCTCTGGCTCCCCCCAACCCCTCACTGCCTCGTTTGCATTAAAACAACTATTTGTGAGGCCTGCAAGGCACTGTTCCAGCTCCAAACTGTTCCACTGTTTGAAATAACCCTCCCAAAACATAGCCCATTAGCATTATGCTTTTTATAAGCCACCTGCCAACGTTTAGCTCTAAAGGAGGATCAAAATTCACATGCCACAGCAAGGGTTTTAAAACCGTGACTCCTGCACAGTTTGCCAGGGGTGACGGTGGCCGGTACAGGGGACTGAGGGGGGGGAATGAGTTCAAGAAGTGGCAAATTCCTCTCGAGAAAGGCATCCTCAGCACTGTCCTGGCATCCCCCATCCCAGTCGTGCGAGGCTCTCACACAAGTCCAGGTGTGGGGCAGGGAGGTTTGAAGGATGGGTCAGCAGGCATCCATTTGCCACGTGAAGTGGCAACATATTGCTATTCAAAATAAATGAGCGGCAGCGCGGCATATCGCTACCTGCTTCGAGCACTCATGCAGGACCTGATGCTCATTTACCCTTTTCACATCATTCTGGCAGTGTTTTAAAAGGGCATTTTACACGCAAGGTCTCTTTTTATTGCCAAAGTAAATGAAAGGGTTTATGGCAACTGAAAGCTAGGCTGAAATCTAAATCTTTGGCACTATTTCTAATAAACTTATC